GGAACTTTAACTCGAGCTCCAGTCCAGCTCCAGCTCTGACTCCACCTCCAAGTGCAGCTCCAAGCTGAGCAATATTAATTTGCAGCCGCAAGTTAAGGCTAAAATATTTGCATAATAAACGCCAACGCCTTGGCCCCCAAAAACTCGGGGCGACGAAGCGTATCTCTGGATGACTTCTCGGTAAATCTTGGGTAACCGCGGTGCACAGAAAAAAATAAAAGAAATTTGCGACTAGAAATCCCTTCATCATTAAACCTAACTTAAAACTAAGAGGGATTTTAAATTACTTTAAAATATATTTTCCGTAATGTGTTCAAAGATTTCTTGAAGGTTTTGTAAGAAAGATAATAAGAGAGAATTATGTTTTAAAATTGTTGTCATTACAATAATCTAAAGTAAACATTTATCTTTCACAAATCACTCTAACTGAAAGCTTAAATTCCTCACCACCCTGTCAAAAGTTCAATGTAGTTTGAACTCTATTTATTTGATTCAAAAAACATTAGTTTTTATGTTCGCATTTTCTGAGAGTGTGCCCATCGGCTAAAGCGCATTCTCATCGTCATCCCATTCTGATTCTCATTTTCATTGCCGGCTATAAGTTAGAAGAACTCAGCAACGGCGGCGGCAATGGTGGTGCTGAGCAACTGCAGTCGCTCACCTCGTACATTTCCGAAAAGTAATGGCCCGGCCAACAGTGATAATTTATCACTGGCCAGCAGCCGGACACGCCGGACATGCGCTAAACCTCAACGGTACTTGCAACACAATGCCTGCCTGGTTGCCTGCCTCCAAAGACTTGGACTCTGGCTCGGAGTGGAGTGCAGTGCAGTGGAGTCTTGGAGCCATTGTGCACCGGTCTCAATTTGTGCGCCCGGCCAGCACAATCAAATTGATATTTGCTGCTATATTTAGTTTATGATAATGCCGCCGAGTCCGAGTGCTGCTGCCGCTAATATGCTGCTTCCTCCTTTGCCGGCCGCCAAGCCAAGCACTCATTTCTCAGCCGCCGCGCTCCACAAAAGCCAAGCCATATTTATTATGCATGCTCCGGCTCCGGAGCAATGCTCATTCACCAGGAGGAGACCTCAACCAGAGGCAGGTTGTGCTCCTTTGGCTGAGAAAGTGTTTTTTTTAGTTGGCTCGATTTTTATGGCTGCAAAGTCAATTAGCATTTGGCATTTAGTTGGCATAAATTCAAATCGAACGAACCGAAATATTATTCCTTTCTGCCTGGGAACCTGCATACGAAACTAGAGAAATTTCTCATTGAATATATTGAAAGTCAGGCTTCGGCTTCGGCTGTGTTCTGACCTTTCAGAAGGCCTGCGAGACCGCAAGCAAATCGAATTCAATGTAAACGTTTTCAATTTGATTTTCATCGGCAAATGAGTTCATTTGAAAGCCGGCAAAGAGATCTTTTGTGTTATTTTCATTTCTCGGCAGCATCAGCAGAGGCGAAAAGCTATTAGCAAATTGTAATGGAAACTCGGCAGGCCGCAATCAGAGCTCCGCGTATGTATGGTTACAGTCTTTTGTTTATGATCCAGACATTAACGAGGAGGATGAATTGGCCGTGGCATATACAAGGAAGCAGCTGCGAATGGCCCGATCTCACCTAATAACTAACCAAATTGTATGTATCTCTCCGCTCTACGCTCTCCGCCAGTGGATCCAACAATCCGATTGGAATCGCCGAGTAGTTTACATGATTGATAGATGGAAAAACCGCTGCCAGCGCTCGGCGGTGGCTTGTTAACGTTCAATTAGTGAAATTGATAGACATATCTAACCCCGGCGAGGGAAAAGCATCAACCGAAACGCGGAATCAAAAGTCATGGAAGGCAGCAGAACGTTTTGGCCGGCCACAGAAATTATACCAGCCGGGTTAATTAAAATGTAGCTCTTCCCTCGGTTACGCTCACATGGAAATTCTAAGTGGAAATTCTGTTGGAACCGCAGAACATTCCCTAGTCTGTCTTTCAAAATTTTTGTTTTTTTTTTTTTGCTTGTGGATTCCTCCCAAAACTCTAACCGCATGCCACACACACGCACATTTACCGTTCTTTCCTCTTGGGCCATTCCTCTTAGCCGTCTTTTCTGTCCACTTTGGTCAATGGCTCATTACATTTGTGGGTTAGCAGGTGAAACTGAACCGAATCGAAAGAAAAACAGACAGAAAAACCAGGGGAAAAACTAGGGAGGGTCCCGAAAGAAAGATAAGAATGAAGCTGAAACAAAAGGCCGAAAAATCTATGCATAGTCGATGCCTTGGCCCGAGGTCTCTCTTTCTGGCTTATTAAAAGCGCGTTGCGTTTGCCGTCGAGGCCTATTATTAGCATAAATTCATTCATACAACTAATTGCAAGTGGAAGTGAGCGTTCCGTAATGAGTTCGCCTCCCGTTCGCCGGGTCTGCATCTTGGACTGCGACTCCCCTTCCTCCCAGCTCTTGGTTGGTCTCCATCCTCGCATTGCCGTTCAATCGAGCAGAAGAATGGTGCTCGCAGTCGGGTTGATCGAGGGGAGGGAGGGCTGCACATATTGTTTTTAGTGCAGTGTATCTTAAGGGGGGATATACATGTAAGCGGTCAAAATTTGGCCATTTTTCGTGAATTTTTTTTATAAGAAATAGTCATGCAATCGTCGTGAAACTTTGGATATAGTTAAAAGTAGAATCAGAGATGTTAAAAAAATTTAGTTATAAACAATATTTTACAAAATGGCGGACTTATGGAACATATGCCGTAGCGCCACGAGCTTTGAGTTGTTGTGCTATGGACACGATAGAGCTCGTAATTCCTGTCCGAAATCCGTAAACTACATTTTTTTGTATTCATTATACCTTTATCTTCTATTTGAACCTAAAAAACCAAAAAGAAATCAAGACAAAAAAAATACATTTTGATTTGAAGGAAAAAATGCCATTTTCAGGCGATCAGTTTTCACTTCCCACCCTCTTAAAAAATAGTAATACTCAGTTTTATAACAACCATGTAGGTTCAAATAGAAGATAATTTCATGCTGATCATAATAATTTTTGATTCACTCCGATATGTTACGTAGTTTTTTGTGAATCGTGTCCATAGCATAGGTAGAAATGCAAAAATTAGAAGCTGAGAAAAAGACGTTTAAAGTTTTTGATGCGCCCACGTTAACACTTGTGAACCTTGCGTGCATACTTGATTTGAGGCACTTAGAGTTGGAATTCGATAATGAAACTTACACACTATATTCTTTAAATAATAAACTATTTTTTAAACCACCAAAAAAATTTGCCCAAAAAATTTTGGTTTACATGTATATCCCCCCTTAAAGCATGTTATTAACATTAACGGTTCTTTCTCTCCTCTTGTTTGGCTTTCATAATTTATGTGTGAGCCAGCCGTTGCAGCAGCTGCGGCAGAGGTGTGGGCGTGGCGCTGGTTTTGCATGCAACCCGAGGCCGCCTGGAGCCTCTTCCTCCTCCACCTCCTTCTCCTCCTGCGGCTCATAATTAATTATGTAACTAACGAAACATTAAACAAGTGCCCATCTTACAACAAACCAAAAAAAAAAAAAAAAGTATAAAAAACTGAACTCACTGCCAGCGCAAAAATCTTTTCTCACGCAGCCGCTTATTAACCGCTAAATCTTCTTCGTTGTCTCTCGGGCAAAATAATGAGCCACACTTTAGATTATCTCACAGGTGGTTCAGCTCAGCGCGAATCCCAGGAGAGCGTTTTTTTTTTATTTTCTCTCGCCGCCTCTTTATTGTCGAGCAGTGAAACTCACTTTTTTACGCCTTTGCCGGGCATCGACAGCCGAAACGCATAAAAATATTTAACAACATGAAAATGTGTTTGTTTTTCTTTTGTCTATTATTTTTTTTTTATGAACGCCTGAATTCACTTTCTCGCTGGAACGGGGAAATGACCAGTTATTCGCGAAATAAAAAAGCAGAGAAAATAGTGTTTAGATCCGAGATTCGTCAGCTGTAAAGTGTTAATTGTTTCGCGCATCTTGAGGTTAGATTGCATAATTGGATTAGCAAATTGTTATGACAGAGGCAACAAACCATGAAGAAGACGGGTTTGTTTTAGGAAAGAGTCATTGACTTTGTTCAAGACAAAAACTAACTTTTAGGATTCCTAGTATAGCAAGTAAGCAGAGCCATAAAGTTAAGGATCTACCAGGGGCATTAAAAGATGCTCTTCAAATTCCAAGCTTAGCTAACTTCCGGTGAAAGAATTATAGACAGGAACTTCCCCAACTTTGCCTGTAATTTATTATGCCTTAAAGCAAGTCAGAGATCAAAAATTAATAGTAGTAATAATATTAATAATCTCAGCCACCTTGAGGCACCTACATCTATGTACACATGTACCTTGGTTATCTGGAACATAACCCGCCTGCACTTACTAGGTGAAATCTAGGCCCATGGGGTCTTCTCGGGGTCCCAGTTGGGTTTTCTCCCAGCATGGTGCCACCTACACCCAGTCCCAGTCGCATCCCGACTCTCTCCTCCTGCTTCTCCTAAATATTTCCCAGGCGGCGGCGTTTTTCACACATAAAACTTCGCCCCACTGAGGTCTCCCGGTAATGTTTTTGTTCTGATTGTGGCTGCAGCAGCAACTGTTTCTGTTTCTGTCGAGGCTGCCGTCTTATGCACAATAGAAAAAGGCCGGATAGCTGAGAGCTGTAAGCTGTAAGCGCGCTGTAGGTTTAATTAAACGCTGAAACACACGGCGAACAAGCCAGGCAATTAAAGCTCGAACATAGCCAGACCGGAGGCGAGGGTCGGAGATCGGAGAAGACACAGAGTTCCGTTCCGTTTCCATTCCTGGCAGTGCAAAGCCCCCGTGGAGCGTCGGCCTACGAAGAACGGCTAGCACACTAAACCAATAAAATGCACACCAGGAATTACATAAATTACGCGTAATGTGAAATTAGTTGCCTAATTAACATTTAGCCTCTCCCAAGCCCCACTCTAACCACACTGGATATCAAATTCAATTGCAGACAAAATGTTTCTACGCCGCTGCACCTTTCTGCTGCTGCTCTGTCTAATTGCGAGTGACGCCGCCAGCGCCGCACGCAAAACAAAACGTCCTGTCAAGCCGGTCAAGCAGACCGTTCCGCGCAACAATATGACGCCCTCGCCGCTGGCAGCCGCATCGGGCAACAATGGCAGCTCCACGACCGCCAGCAGCAGCACCACCACCACCTCTACTACCACCACGACGGACGGAAGCAGCGACCAAGCGGCAGAGGCAGCCACCATTGGAGCAGGATCTCCTGCGGCAGCTGGAGCCGGCTCTGCTGAGCTGCCCAAGCCCCTGGCCACGCCCATTGAGTCGCAGCCAGAGGCCAAGACGGACAAGGCCCCGGCCGTCCTGCAGGAGGAGGAGTGCGATCCAGATATGATTGGCTTTGAGATCATTACCGGGTGAGTTAAGACAAAGTTGATAGAAAAGCGAAGACTTGTTATTAGATGTAAGCCGGCCAGCTTCACTTAATTAATTATCAGCTGATAGATCAAGGAAATAATGTGAGAGATGTACTTAAAAAAGTATTATTAAAGAAATATTAAGGCAGGGATCAGGGATAATAATAGAGAAGGATTTGCAATTATTTAAAGCTCTATAAAGTCACTATAAATTATCTGAGAACCATATCAATATTACCTTTTTTTAAGCCATTTAACTTAATAAATTCTATTTATATTAATATACCTTATTAAAATTAAATTATCTATCTTAAATCGACTTTTCTTTCCTGTGCCTTAAAATTGCATAACTAATTGAACTCCCCTTCCGAAAAGTACCTATTCATAAACGTCACAAAACAATGAAAAATTCCCCCAGCACAGCAGCAGCTTACGCAACCACCGGCATTATAGAAACTTGATTACATTTTTATATAGCCACTTGTTATTTTCACTTTTGCTTTTCTTCTAAAATTTGAATTTTTGTGAGAGACAAGACAATGGGCCGGCAAAGGGTTCATATACATTTTCAATGAAATGCAGCTGACATTTGGGCCAATTAACATTTCCATAAGAAGAGAAGAGAAGAGTAGATAACGGTGAAGTGGCGGCGGCAGGTGGGAAGCCAGAAATGGAGCCAGCTCCATAGACCGCTGCTAACTGGCATATGCAAATGTGTGGCGGCCGTAGGAGTGACACTCTTTGGTTAAAACGTGACTAATCCCAGCCAAGACTTGTTTCCCCCAGAGATGTCATCGTCCGCCGCAAGTTCGTTGCCTGAGTCTTTTGTTTGGTCTTCCGAAAAAATCATAATAAAGCCATAGCTAGAAGTATATATATTCAAGCTATCACTTTCGATTTCATCTGCTCATTGACTGAGTTTAGAAATATATTAGTGGGGTTCACACAGGTCATAAATCATGCGGGATACCGATATCGCTTTGACCCCGATCTCATTTATAAATCATCTTTCTTCACTTTCAGCTACGTGCTGTCGGCCCCCTCGAAAATGCTGGACACCTTGCCCGGGACCCTGATGCTCACCGACTGCCTGGAGGCCTGCCAGAGCAACGAGTCCTGCAGCGCTGTCAACTACGAAACCGGCTTGTGTGTGCTTTTTAAGACGACCGCCGATAAATTGCCAGGTGAGTTAGAAAGTGTGAGAATCTGAAACGGCTAAGGCGACAGCGACAACGAGAGCGCTGTTTTTTCTGCTTCTTTTTTGTGCCAAAGAAAGCTCAATAATTCAGCTCAGCCCGGTCGTTCATTCATTCATTTTCTCAATTACTGAGTTCTAGTTCATGCAGGTTGCGTGCACTCAAAGAAAAGAGTGAGAACGAATGAATACTAAGAGTAAATTTGATATTTTTAAAGCCTTTTTCTTGATAACAAATTTTAGAAATATTTCTTGAATTTATAATATAATTAGAAGCACCTTAACCTTCGAAATATATCTATATTTCTTGGAATTTTCCTTCAGTGTGCCTGGCGGCTGTCGTGGTCCAGGGGCATAAATCACCCGCTTGTCCCACGGTGGCCACGAAAAAAGGCTAAAATAAATTGAAGACAAAAAAAAAGCGCCTGCCTGCACACGCCTTTTGCTTTTACGCATGATTTGGTGGCTGCCTGGCCGGCTGCCAAGGCAAAGTCGTCGCTTTTGGCCCGGCAAACTAGATTTTGCCTTGGATTCTGCAAACAGCAAACTGGCTTTTGGCATTGGCGGCACTGGCAGTAACGCATAATTTCTGCCGCACCAGCAGCGGCAGCAGCAGCCTTCCTTCCCAGGCCGAATCTCGAATGTCGATGCAGTTGTCGTTGCGTTGCTGCTGCTGATTCAGTTCCAGCTTTTCAGCGTTTCTCAACGCCTGTTACTTTGCAGTGAAGGGGCGTGTGCGTAAAACGCATAAAACGCGCAATTCACGCACAGCGTACGCACAGCACCGTTGTGATTCCAGCTTTTCCCGATGAGGTTTTTTTTATTATTCTTCTATTTTTTTTCTACAATTTCAGGTTCACTTTCGCGCTCGCAGTTTCCGGTTTTCACCATCTACGCACAGAAATCGTGTTTGGGCGTACGTCCTTGCTCCAAGGCCTGGTGCATCGATCGCGTTCAAGGTTACCGCCTGCCGGAGCACGTCAAATCTAGTCAGACGGTTCTGTCGCGCCGCGACTGCCTGGAGCTGTGCCTAGGCGAGTCCGAATTCACATGCCGGTGAGTAAAGGTGTCCACTAGGTGTTAGGTAATGCAGGTTAGAGCCCTAAAAGGGTATGCCGCTGGTAGGGCAAACATGTAGCGACAATAGAATATCCTTGCTTAAAGTTCTCAGCTTAAGATTGTGGTGAATCCATATCCAGGAACATAATTTATTGAGCTCTAAGTATGAAAGCTAGAATCCATATCCTTTCCATATATTTAATAAAATAGTAGACAAACTTATTGACTTCCTCTTAAATTACTACATTTTTAAAAACCCTTATCTAATACCCTATGATTTCGAGCGGCTTCACTTGCTCTTGGCCTCGTTTTACACTTGCAACTCCTTCCTAATCTCTACGTATCGCTTGCTCTCTTCCACTACCACTTCTTCCTTTACTCTTCCGCCCTTCCGAACCGCTCAATACTCTTAACTCGACCAGCTCGGCCAACTACTACCGCCACTCTGGTCTGTGCGAGCTCTCCGACATGGATCGCATTACCCTCTCCGCTGGAGGCAGCGTGGAGCCCTATGACGGAGCCGATTACCTGGAGAACAATTGTGCCGAAGAGCCGAGCAAGCTGTGCGAGTTTAAGCGCATCTCCGGCAAGATCCTGAAGACGGTGGACTCGGTTTACCAGGACATTAACACCATTGACGAGTGCCGCGATCTCTGCCTGAACTCTCCCTACAGGTAAGGTTCTTTGTAATGCCTCTTTACCGATAGCCACTTAACTGTAATCCCGGATAGATGCCACTCTTACGACTACAATGACACCGGAGACATGGTTTGCCGCCTGTCGCATCACAGCCGCGCCACCCTCACCGACGTGATGGATCCCTACCTGGAGGTGCCCGAGGCGGCCACCTACGAACTCTCGGCCTGCTATAACGTCTCGATCGAGTGCCGCTCCGGCGAGATGATCACCAAGATCCGCACCTCAAAGCTTTTTGATGGCAAGGTCTACGCCAAGGGAGCCCCCAAATCCTGCGCCGTGAATGTGAACAACTCGCTGGAGTTTGACTTCCGCATGGGCTACAACGACCTCGAGTGCAATGTCCGCCAGAGCGCCTACGGCAGGTACATGAACGACATTGTGATCCAGCATCATGACATGATCGTCACATCCTCGGATCTGGGATTAGCTGTTTCCTGCCAGTACGACCTGACCAACAAGACGGTGCTTAACGACGTGGACCTGGGAGTAACCGGCGAGATTGAGTCGTCTCTGAGCGAGGAGATCACCATCGATTCGCCCAATGTGATCATGAAGATCACCTCGCGGGACGGCAGTGACATGAAGCGCATCGCCGAGGTCGGTGATCCGCTGGCCCTGCGCTTCGAGATCGTTGAGCCGAACAGCCCCTACGAGATCTTTGTGCGGGAGCTGGTGGCCATGGACGGCTCGGACAGTGCCGAGATAACGCTGATCGATGCTAATGGCTGCCCCACCGACCAATACATCATGGGTAACATCCAGAAGCTGGCGCACAACCGCAAGGTGCTGCTCTCGCAGTTCGACGCCTTCAAGTTCCCCTCCAGCGAGGTGGTTCAGTTCCGCGCCCTCGTCACGCCCTGCATCCCGCGCTGCGAGCCCGTCATTTGCGATAGCGAGGATGGCGCCAGCGGTGAGCTCAAGTCTTTGGTCTCCTATGGCCGCAAGAAGCGATCGGTGCTCAATGGAACCGACGGTGGTAAGTACCGATCTCCAGCTGGATGTTATTCAACCAACTAACGAACCTTTCGTTCGTACTTATTGCAGCCGAGTTCATGGTCAGCACACGCCAGCGACGGGATGTGGGCCCTGCGGATGATAACATACTGCTCATGCAGTCCATACAAATCACAGACAAGTTCGGCTTCCAGCCGGAGGACGGCACCACCAATGGCAGCGGCAATGACAGCGGCAGCGGATCGGGTCCACACGAGAAGGCCTATGCGGGCGTTGCCCAGGACAAGCTCACTTGCCTTAATGGCTATGGTAAGTTTTCGAACGAACTCCCTGTGAAAATGCCCAATCAAGCGCAAATCAAAGGCAGCTTGATTTGCATAGACAAGCGCTGTAGCTGGAGCAGGAGCAGGAGCAGGACGACATCGTGGTCGTCGTGAGCCGCTCAGCTTGTTCCTGGCCTCGCTAATTTTGATAATGAATCAATTTTTCATCATTGCCGGCTGCTGGCTCCCCTGCATGGGCCTTAAATTAGGTTCTTCTGGCTTTTCCGGCCAGAACGTGTTCTGTGACTGCATTAAACAAGTTATGATGCTGGCCCCGGTGTCTCTGCTGGCTCACGACCAGGTCACTAGTTCAGCAGCTGTGGCTCCACTGGCAGCAGGATTCTGCACGCCTCATTTTCGTGCGGCGCGAAAAACTTTTTGCACAGTTGGCCTGCTGGGTTTTCCGGCTCCCGGAGACTGGAGACCACCATCTCCCATGTGTCATTCCTTTGTGGAGCAATTGCCACGCCGCATCAGAGCGAATGCGATGCGGCGTTGAAGCGTTAAATTGACAGCTCGTTAGACAGCAGCAGCAGCAGCAGGTCCAGCCTCAGCTCCAGCTTCAACTTGAGATTCAGTTCCAGTCTCGGGCTCCGTTGGACCACCGCCAGCATACATTTTTGTGGTAATTACGCGCCGCATCAGCTGCAGACCGAACTGAAGCTCATTGCCTACAATTAGAGCAACGGTTTCTGCTTGTGCTTAAGCTCATTTGCCACACACATTGTTGCAAGCTGAGCAACTGAGCACCTGACCAGGTGAGCTTTGATGCGTGCGCCAGAGCATTCTCGGCCTTGTCTTCGGCATGCAGAACAGCAATTTAACGTCTTCTGGCGGCGAGTTGACTCAACACCCTGTAATTTGTCAATGCTTATGAGCATTTTTCATTCCTCGCCGATATTTATTTAGAAATGAATCTCTCTCCCATTACGGCAAACACTTTAATGGCCACTTTATGGGCTGATTTCATGCTTGATTTCTGGTATTATTTTCATAAGAATCACAGGGAAGTCGGCTGCCTAAATGCAGTTCAGCCATTTCGCTTTCATCAACTTTGCCATTAGTCTTAAATGTTTTATTAAACGGCCGCACGATGCAATTTCTAATATTCGATTCGGTAGTTTGCTGCTAAATTATAGATAATTCTCATTTCTCTTTCCGTTTTCAACGAAAGCAAGTCTGGAAAACTAACTAAAACCAGTCTAGAGTCATTTTTCTTGAATCCAAGCTTAGTTGTTAATAAAATGGGAGTCTTTATAGACAGAGATCTCTTATTTAACTTGGTTACTACTTGTAGTTAAAGAATTCTTATTTTAAATAAGATCATAGGTCACAGATATTGACTTTATATATCGATTCAAGATGGGTTTTTACCGCGTTAAAAATATCTAATAAATACTCGGCTTGCTTTCATCATTTCTTGTAGTCCAGACTCCTTACTTAAAGTTAACTTTAGGTTGTAGCATTTGTTTAAACGTTTCTTTGGGTAATTCACTTCACTTTCGTTGTTCGCTTACTTTTCTTTTCCCTTCAGCCCCGTTAGCTTTTCTCAGCAATTTTCTTGTTACTCTTTGTTCTGGGTCGGGTTTCATCAAATTATTTACCATTTTGTGGGCGCCTCGTACGTACAGAACTCGTTTTGTTCCTCCTCTGACCGTTTACAGTAATTGTTATAATTTTGTATATTTTCGTTGTTGCCCCCTTTGTTACCTGTGTTGTTGGTCTTCAGGTAAAGCCGGAGTCAAATACATAAATAAAAGTCTCAAGTGCGTGCACTTTGTTATTGAAACTCATTCAAGTCATGACCAAGATGATGATGATGATGATGATGGAGGCGATGACGATGTTGTTGCGGCTCTTGGTTTGTTTGTTGATTTGTTTTTTCGGCTCAACTCGCCGAGCTGAGCTTACTTTTTATGGTCAACAACAGGCACAACATTGTTACGAAGTAATCTTTGATAGTCATCTGGCATGTCGTCGTTGCTGTTGCCGTTGCTGTTGCAGTTGCTGATGCTCTTAAATTCTGATTTCGTGAACTGGACAAAAAACAGCAAGAGCAGCAGCAGCAACGCATGCAACTCGACTTTGACTTTGACTTAAACTTTGGCGGCACTTTCACCCGATTTCTACCAACTGTGGCATTGGCATCGGCATTTCGAATTTCCTCCGCTTGGCCGCCACTTTCCTGGGCTTATTTATGTGGCATGTTGCACTCTTAAGAACCCAGCAGCAGCAGCAACATGCGATGTCTAGGGTATAGAAAGTGAGTCCGTGCCGAAATATGCAACTCATGCATTAAATTGTCGCTGTTTTATTTCTCATTGTTTTTGTTTATCTTGAACTTGTTGCTGTCAAAGTTGGTCACTTGGTCGGTGGACTCCAACTCCAACTCGGACTCGGACTCGTTTGCGTCTGCCTTGGGGCTATTTTTTTTCCCCTCTTTCTGTTTCAGTTCACTGCTAAGTGGGTCAAGTGGCGCCCACTTTTGTTTTCTGTGATAACCAAACCGATCTGAGGTCACTTCTGGCTCTAGTTATTCCTCTTCTGCTCCCGGACTTCCCTGTTGGCCGCTGATTGGAGCGATCTTATCGCTGGCCGGCGTTCGGTTCGTTGCCTTTCGTCGGCTCGGCGGCAACCAGTTTTCATTGAAACTCTTCGAACTAGATCGGTTACTTGAGATAATCCCCTTGATTTATGGCGATAAGAGGCCGACTTCCCTTTTCAAATTGTTCGAGTACACCGAGGGCGAAGACACCTTCTCGAATCTGGAGCAAAATTGTTGATTTGAGGCCGGGTTTAAGACCAGCTTAAAGGTTCATTAAACTGCAATTTACTTTGGTTTTCTGATTTTTCTTGAATTTAATTTCAAGCAGGTTTGAGATATCATTCTTGAGAGATTTCCCACAGTTAAGAGAGGTTTTTAAATTGAATCTAGAAATTATTTTTTATGTTCACTGATCAGGGAAGGTACTCTCTATTTCTGCCTGGAGTTTCCGGTTAAATAACTCACTTTCCACCTTGCTCTTTCTCCCTTCCAGGACTCATCATGGCCGGAGGACTCTTCCTGCTGGCCCAGCTCAGCATCTTTGGCATCTGGAAGACCGTGCAGCGTCGCACCAGCAAGGAGCGGTACCTGTACCAGCACGAGCCTACACCCACCATTACCTATGGAGCACCCACCATGCTCTATGGCCCACCGCCACCATCCTCCGCCGGCTCCTCGTCGGGAGCGTCGTACGTGGGCAGCGCCAAGGATACGCTGAGCAAGCTATACGACAGCGGCATCAACGGGCGCTACGGACAGCAGTTCTAGGGGAGATCTGATCTGGGTGGCTCTCGCACTTAGCTGGGAAACACTTAGCTGGGAACAAACGCAATATGCCTCGAAAGCTTCAAAAGATTCGATGAGACTTGAATAGAAAATATTCGCCTAGCAGCGACACACACATGAAAATCATTGGAAAACCCTAGATTAATTCCAGCCTAGGCTAAGACTTTAATTTAATTAATTTAAACGTAAAGTTTTCAACGATTTTTTTAAACCGATACGAGTATCTCTCCAGAATGCGCGCTTTTAAATGCCTTGGAAATCGGGAAAATCGAGGTTCCAGCATTTTAAATCGGCGCATTGCCCAGAAAGCAAGGAAAATTCTCCCCCCCGCTAAATTCGAGTTAGTTTAAATTCACTCTAGCGAAAAGTTAGGCTAATTATATATGTATGTTTAGTGAGAAATCTGCTTCATGTCCTTATGTCTAAGTCCAGACTCGAGCGAATTGCATTTATAACTATTACACTATTTATTATTAACTATTGAGCTGCTCTGACATTTCACCACAAAGTTTGCCAAATAATTTTGTATCAAAATGTTTTGCGCCAGGCTTCTGTGCAAGGCGGCATTTCCAAATTTTCCAACGCCCCCCAGACCCTAAACCGAAACTATTACTCTAACTATTTATTTTCTAATCGTACTTCATATTATTTATTGGCCGAAACGAGAGGCGGTGCTTATATTTTTAAGAGCTTCGACTTGTCCCCCCCTTCGGAGAGGGGGTCAGACTTAGTTAAATCTCAAGACAGGAGATGAAAATTAATAAACGAAAATTTTGATAAACGAATTGTACTGATTAAGTAAAGCAATAAACTCTACGCCTAATAATATATATTTATAAATAAATGTCTGAAAATAAGTCTATTTGCATATTTATTTTGGGAAATATCATTTATTAATGTTTGAAAAAAGTATTAGAAACCGCTGGATCATCATTAAATCTTTTCAGAAGAGAGGCTACCCAAAATCAATAAACACTTAATAGAAATAAACAAAAAAAAAAGGTTCAGCCGAATTACTAAATTAATTCACCACAGCCAAGACCCTTTCAAAATTAACATTTGACTGACAAAACTTAGGCAAGCGCTTAGCTTAAATTGAGGTTTGTCATAGAGAGGAAAACGACACCCGTAGAAATTATGATAATTTCACGGCAATTTGAGCAGACCCAGCAGGCGGTGGCATGTGGCACCTATATCCATGGAGTGGCTTTCGCGTCCGACAAAAGTGTTAATCAAATTATGGGGCGGAATAGCAAGCAGCTTAACCAGGCGTGTTACGATCTCTTTAACGCTCCAGCTACGCACGCCATTATACCCATTCCCGGGTTCCATCCATCGAAAATTCTGAGCCACTGGAGGCGGCTATTAATCATGATCACGTTGAAATTGAAATGTGCGAAAAGCCGCGTATCGACCGCGACGTGTGCCGGGTTTCAGAATGAAGACGTCTTCATGGACTGTCGCCATGGTTCCACAAGTGGTGTTAAATCGAAGCGAGTCTCCATCTTGCCCAGTGCTCCACCTCCTTTATCTGGAAGGCTCCAGCTGCTTCCCTCCCTGGATGGTTAGGTGTGATATACGCATGTGCGTCGTGCCTCATGTTGAATAAAACGCCCCTATTAAGCTGCAGTTAATTGAAAAGTAATTTTCGAGGCGAATTTGGAATGCCCTAGGTATCTGACACCAGAGATAATAAAATACTCTACGGTTGTTTATTAAAATTTGTATTTTATTATATTTAAAGTTATTTTAAAGATATAAAATACTACGATAGGCACCTAACAGCACTCAAATATCAAAGTACCCCTCTTGTAAGTCAGGGTAAACCATCAAAGCCACGCGTTGACAATTTTTATGGCCGGTTCTGGTGCGTATTTGGCTTGGACACGGCTATGAAGTTTTTAGTAGGAGCTGCAGATGGAGTTGGAGTAGGAGCTAGTGTGGCTTTGGGGCGGGTTCCCGACCAGCGCTGCGTGAGCTTTTTGTTTTTGGTTTTTCTCACCTAAGAGTGTGGCTTGGAGATAGATAGAACGTGGCCAAGTGTGGGCATTTGCGTTGACAGCTATGCAAATGCCTGGCCATTAAGTCGTTGACTGTTAGCAATGGCTTTTAATTAGCGGCTTGACTTGGCATCGGACTGGTCCTAAGCGTTCTGGCCTGGCCTAAGGCGAGCTGGAATGCCATAGAGACAATGGCTGACAACACCTACACTCGTTGCCGTTGACACTTTGACCATTGAGGAAAACGCTTGCTCGCATTTTGCCAATTTCCATGCATAAAGTTCGCATTGAACACCCTCACGCTCTGTGGTCATTTGCATTTAAATGCCATTGCCATTGGTATCGCCATTGCCTCGTTGGAGCTCCGATAGCCTGGGATTGGATGGGCTGGGATGAGGTGAAGATCTCGTTTGCAGCACTTCCTTTCCACCTTTTCCAAGCGGGGTCAGAGAAGAGAGCTTTTCCTATTCGGGTTTTCTTTTCTGGCCATGTTGGCCTGCCTCACGATTTCTGGCCAGGCCTCTGCTTTTGTTTGTTTTACAGCTGCTCGCTTTGATTGAAAAATTATGCACTTGCCATGGCAATGGGCACCGCCAAATTTCGCCAAAGAAGAAGAAATTGGTGAAGAAGCCAGCAAAATCCACAGATGAGCCAAAGACTTAAACTTAACGAAGCTGGTAAGTGAAATTTGTTATGCTCTAAGTGGGAAATCAATTGAAATTGCACAGGTTATTGGATAACTTTTAATTTTTGGGAAGAAAATTAAACACTAAATTACTGAAAAAATGGTTAATGCTTTTATATACTATTTAGAGATAATTTAACTGAGTTTATTCCTTCAAAACCCAACAATAAGTAAGTGTTCAATGTATAATTTCTTCACCAATTAATTAGGCTCAAGATCCTGCCTATTTTCGAGGACTCCCCCGGGACTTTGCCATAGCCAAACTCCCCAAAAACCCCTTGTTAGGGTATAAAAGACAGACTGACAAAAGTTGGAATTTAGCACTTGAGTCGACGAGTGGCGAACGTTTTCCCGTTTACTATTTCCCCATTTTCCATTTTCCATTTCCAAAGTGGCAAGCCTGAAAGCGAGGACGGTGGCTTGTTACTTTTCATTTCGCCAACTCCTCCAGCTTGTCCTGCTCATTAGCAATTGCCCGGCATGGCAGCCAGGCAGGCAGGCCAAGCAGGCAGTCATGGCCGGGACAGCTGTTAGCCCGTTTTCACCTAATTAAGCAAACAAACGTGTGGGAAATGGTCGCTCTGCTGCAGAGCCTACACAGGGAGATAACTTTCGCCCCGCCCCAAAAACACACGCCCATGTCCCCATGTCCTCGATGGCCTCGCAGGCTAATTGCCACGAACATGCGGGGCTAAGTAGCCGCTGGAATGCAGCCAAAAACATTTGTCTCTAATTGCGGTTCAGCCCAATTGGGTAGGCCAAATTAAATTAAATGCAGCCAAAAACAAACAACCGGAGCACAGGGAACGGGGAAATGGGAAACCACTAGCTAGAAGCCTCCATGCTCCATCTCCTCCAGGAAGAGCAGCCGAAGATGCCACAGCGGCAAGCACAATTTGTGCAAAAATACAAATTGGAACATTTGTAGAGAGGCGCAGGCGTGTAGGCACTGTGAGAATTTATGGCCCTGCTGGGGTCACTGCCGCATCGGATGGGATAACATCTGTTTGGGCCAACTCTCGGAGCAGTTCAGAGAGCCGGCGAAGCTGCGGCGGCTGACGCGTCGTGCGCAATGCGCATGCAAGGCCCCAGCCGAAACCAAAGCAAAAAGGCAAAGGACATTGACCAGGCCCTGATCACAGCCAGACCAAGCCAGGCTAGACCAAGCCAGCCAGCCATCGAGTCTGCGTCAAGGCAGACAACCGTTTGTGGCAGCCCGCGATGGAAGCCCATTAGAAATTAGAGAAATGGTTCAGCAGAAGCTTCAAGCTCGGGTTGAGTCTCAGCCTCAGTTTTGGCTTCATTCCCAGTACCGCTGAGCTTCGCTTGAGCCTCGACTCGGGCGAAAAACAATTAATAATTGTAATATATCTCTGGAATCTGGCCCGGTCAATTGCAGTTACCACAGGGGTCATTCAATTTCACGTAAGACCCGGTAGTCAGGGGTTTATCTCGACTTCTCACAGATGACTTACATTACATTCGTTAACAGACGTTTATCTATAATGCCCTAAACTATTAGTCATTTGAGAGAAGTTTAAGGGAAATTATGGTTTTTTAGGTACTGACTTTTGACTTTAGGTACATATGTATATAGGGTGTCACGTTAAAGTTGTAAAAAGTTGAAGGAAGGTTATCGTAAGGATAACTATAGGGGAGTAAGCTAGTAAAAGATTTTTACTCTATTTTTTAAATTACTTCCTTTTAAAAATTGCAATATTTAATATTATGGCTGTATGAGCTATAACTTTATATAGCCAGCAGGAGTTAGCTCATCATCATTAGCCTAAGCAATTACATAACAATAAGTCTCACTTGAGCCACACTTTAGGTTTAGGGAAAACCTTTTCTAAACCAAAAATGAGTTAAAACACAAATCAGTTTCCCACTCCTCCATCGAAGTTTCAAAGGACCTAAGCGCCTGCCCCCCTGAGGAAGCTCAACATCACTCCCATAAATTTAATTAAAGCCAAAATCTCCTTGGCCTTCGCTTCCGCCTAACGGACTGTGGGACTTTTGCTTTTCGCATGCGATTGCTGCGTATTCAATTCTTTAGTTTATTCTCCTCCTTTCCTTGCCTCCCAGGCCAAGCCCAGCCTTTTTCTGGGATGGGAAGCTGCTGGTCCGAGGGCGTGCGTGAAAATTGCTCAAGCGCACAAGGAAGGCCGCCGGCTGGCCTCTCTCACGGGGCAGGACGGACAACAATCGCGGTAAGTGATTACGTAACCAGTGCATTGTTCCAGCATCTGTTTTTTTGGGGTTCTTCCCGACCAATGAAGAACGCAATGGATGAGCCTGCCTGGGCCGGCAGTCGGCAGTCGGCCTTATCAGCCACCGTGGGCGAGGCACAATCAGTGGACCCGGGGGCTGGGCGAGAGGAAGCTGTAGCAAAATAATTTATTCACAGCCATTATGCGCTGCGAATTTATGCCACTTCCTGGTGGAACCACTACAAATAGCCTTTTAAAATGCGATAAAAATAGCGCCAACGGGTCTGCTGCAGCAGAGCCCAGGGAAGATTCACAATGGCCATGGCCCGGGATCAGGGTCCAGGTCCAGGACCAGGACCAGGGATGGGGCGTGGCAGATTGCAATGACTTTTAAGCATGAAACCGTAAAATGGTTTTTCAATAAACAGACAAGAGAAGCGGAGTCAGCGAAGTCGGTGGAGTAGAGCAGATCATGCCCAGGAGAGGGAGCTCCGAGATGGAGCTGGGAAACTGGCGAAACAATGCGACAAATATTTGAATATGTTAATTAGTCTGCTGTTCCTGCCGTTGCCGTTTGCTGGGCACGATCAGTTCGTTCTTCTTCTATCGCTGGACGTGCATCGGCGCAGTCTAATTTCATGTGTTTGCCATCTTGTTAGCACACGGTGTGTTGTCTTCTTGGTCAGGCCAACCGGCGCACCGGCGGAAGCCTGGCCTGGACTTGGACTTGGAATCGGAGCTGGCAAACGTTTTGCATCTTCGCACCAGCCATGAACCGGCAGCAACCATCAGCTAACGAGGCTGCCAGCCACTTGCCAGTGCATCCGAGATTCATATTTATATTTATGAGTGCTATGCAGGTTGGCCCACACACACGCTGCTCTTTACTCGGCCAGCAGTTCGCCAATAAAGCT